GTGGATAGAGCGTCAGCCTGCGGACTCAAGGGTCCCGGGTTCGATTCCGGTCAAGGGCATGTACTGTGGTTGCGGGCACGTCCCCACTGGGGGGCGTGCAGGAGGCAGCTGATGGATCTCTCTCATCGATGTTTCTGACTTTCTATCCCTCTCCCTTCTTCTCTGTAAAAAATCAATAAAATATATTTAAAAAAAAAAAAAAAGTAGTTTATGGGAGGTAGCCATTTCCTAGGCCAGTATTTTCCCTGACAAAGATCAACCTCCAGTCTTTACTAAGCCTATTGTTTTTCTTTCTTTTTTATAAATATATTCTTTTTATTGATTTCAGAGAGGAAGGGAGAGGGAGAGAGAACTATCAATGATGCGAATCATTGATCAGCTGCCTCCTGCACGCCCCCTACTGAGGGTCGTGCTTGCAACCCTGGCATGTGCCCTTGACCAGAATCAACCTGGGACCCTCAGTCCGCAGGCCATGCTCTATCCCAAGCACGTGCCCGCGGGCCGCACGCAGCCCACAACGAATACTTCTGCGGCCCAGCCAATATAACGGTATTAAGAAACGTTTAAATTAAAATTTCGTAACTTAATTTTTACAATATCCTGTTATACATACTTATTAACAACGAACTACAACGTTTGCTAATGACTGATTACTATAATCGCGTTGCATTCATTTCCCTTAGGCGCACCATTTCTCTCCACTGACACTAGCAGCGAGTATTTTAGCAGCCGATGGCCACGTCATTAGCCTTGGACTGACTTGTTTGGTGTGCGCAACAGGAAATATTTCACTTTTGGAGAACAAGAAAAATCAGTTTATTTGCGTTACGCTTATTAATTTGTGCAGTTATTCAGTGTCTGGTAGTTAATGTTCAAGAAAAAATATTGCTATTAAAATGTTCTATTATTTTGTTAATGACTACTTATTTATTTCAGCCCTTTGTATTCAGCATGTCTCTCCCGAAATAAACTTACATTTCTATGAAAATAGAAGCTTTTGTTTTTTTGCAGCCCACATAAACTTCAACCTTGTTTATTTGACCCATGTTAGCCTTTGAGTTTGACATGCTTGGTCTATCCACTGAGCCAAACTAGCTGGGTAAGCCTATTGTCTTTCTGCATCTAAGATAACATACCTGTGAAATGTCTGGGTAACTTGTAACTTCCCTTTCTCAGGACCCCTCAGGGCACAACAAATGGCATCCAGGCCGGGACCACAAATTCCCTCACTGTTTTTATCATGTTAATTGTTGCCTGTTAACTATCCTGCACCCACCTATATAGAAAAGCATGTGTCCATCATTTTGCTTTTTATCCAATCCCAGAGGTCGCCATCCCCCCACTTTGCTTTCTCCGCCTCCCTAATCTCTCACCAATGGGTTTCATGTCACCCACTCACACCTCCTCCCCTGGTGGTCATTTATAAAAACAAGGTAAGCCCGCCATTCTCCGGAGCATGCTCCCAACACGTTCACACTGCTTCCTGGCAACTGTGGACAGTGTGGCTCAAATAGACTCACCGAAGCTCTTCACAGGCTTGAATGTTCCTTTACGTTAACAGAGGGAGGATTGTTTCTTGCTGGAGTGTCTGGGAAGGACACTCTTTGGAGTGATTTTTGAAGAATGGATTTGACTTTAGCAGCACACCTTAGAGGTGTTACAGGATTGCAGGCAGGAGGACTAGGGACATGGAGACAGCAAAGTTAAAACAAGGCCAAAACCTGTGGGCAATTTGCAGCCAGCCTATAACTACCAAGCCATTATCTTCCCAGCCAAGGACACAGAGCAAATGGCTAAACACCTCCCTAAGGTGAGGTTGGGGGCGCGGGGGGAGAGGTGAGTGGAGAAGAAGGGAACCGGGCAAAGGGCCGCTTTACTTCCTGAGCAGAGAAGCCAGCAGTTCCAAGGCTGGGCCAGGGAAAGAGCAGGTGCTTCTCAGGAATTCTGGGAAGGCCACAGCAAGGTAAACAGGGGCCTTGAGAATTCAGCTGCACCAAAATATGTATCCAGCAAAGGAATGTTGAAGCCTATAGACAGGAGGGTATATAACGCCTCGGACCCCACCCAGCCTGCTCTTCAGATGAGCTGAGTGCTTGTCTGGGCTGCATAAGATGTATAAGCTTGCTTGCTTTGCTTTTTCAATAAGGGGCATGCTCTAACTGCTGTAATAAATTGGCTTTCCAAAATGCAGTCAGGGTCTCTGGTATAAATTCATTTATATGGGAAGGATGGAGGCTGGGGACACCCTCTCCACGGACTCAGGGGGCTGTCCAGGAACACCTCTGTGGTGTTGGTGAGAGGTGCCTCTAGCACTCTGAGTAACGGTTATGAAAGGAAGAAAAGAATTGTGGTATTTTGTGACTTGGTGAGTCACTCAGCACAGGATCCATGTGTAGGAATAGTGTAAAACCGCCAGGTAATTTGGAGTTAGATCATGGCTCTTAACTTCATTCAGGAGGAATGGGGAGCATTTAATGTTGTTTTTTTTTTGTGTGTGATGCTGTCAGAACCATATTTAGAAGACCTGTCTGGTGACAGGATGGGTTGGAGACAGCAGGACAGCCAGTGTGGAAAGATATCAATAGGCCAGGGGAGAGAAGCAGGGCCTGGCACAGGGGTGGCACTCGGGATGCTAAGTTTTGCCCGTTATCTCAGAGCTTTGCCTAGTCCCGTGGTCGGCAAACTCATTAGTCAACAGAGCCAAATATCAACAGTACAATGACTGAAATTTCTTTTATATATATATATATATTTTATTGATTTTTTACAGAGAGGAAGGTAGAGGGATAGAGAGTTAGAAACATCGATGAGAGAGAAACATCGATCAGCTGCCTCCTGCACATCTCCTACTGGGGATGTGCCTGCAACCCAGGTACATGCCCTTGACCGGAATCGAACCTGGGAGCCTTCAGTCCGCAGGCTGACGAGGCCGACGCTCTAACCACTGAGCCAAACCGGTTTCGGCTGAAATTTCTTTTGAGAGCCAAATTTTTTAAACTTAAACTATATAGGTAGGTACATTGTTATTAACTTAATTAGGGTACTCCTAATCTGATTGAGGTCGACCCCTTCCAACTCTCCCATCCACACACGTCTTGTATACTTGTTTCATCTATCTCCTTTCGTTCATCCTCTCTACATGTCCAAACCATCTCAACATACCTTTCTCAATCCTTGACACTACCATCTTTCACTCCACAACGTTCCCTAAAATTAACTTAATAAACTTTACTTAAAGTTTTAAGTCTTAAACTATAGGTACGTTGAATAAAACTTGATATCACACTTAATAACGATATTATTTATTGATAAAATTAAATTCCTTACAATTTACCTTACAATACCCATAAAATTAAATCATGACAATGACTGACAAACACTAATGTGAACAATGGCCTTGCATCTTCTTGGAAAGTTTGGGTAAGTCAGGTTTGTATGTTGTTATTTTTAATTTTAGGCACGATTCCAGGTTCTCATCAATAAGACGACTTCTCAATTTACTCTTGATAAGGTTCATGCTTGAAAATGATTGTTCGCATAAATATGTAGACCCAAATAAGAACGGCAAATGCTAGTTTTTTCAGTTGATTATATGAGTCAGGAATACTATTCCAGGTGTTAAAAATCAACATATCTTCCTTCTTCAGGTCTTTCAAAGCAGACCACTTGTGCTGTGAACTAAGTTCACATTTGTTTTTCTCCAATATTTCTATATCAGCACAAAGACGTCCAAATTTCAGCTCCACACTTCTTTGTTTTTTAAATCCAGCAACTGCATTTCAAAGTTGCCAATGTCAATATTAAAGAGAGAAAAATTTAATTGTTACAGTAGCATTGAGAGGTTTTTTAACAAAGGCGAACGTCGTCGCTTTGCTGTTTCTGAATTCCTGAAGCCTGTTGAGAAGAGCTTCCCTCATATTTAAAGTACCGCACGTGGTATTTTGTGGAAGAGCCGCACTCAAGGGGCCAAAGAGCCGCGTGTGCCTCGAGAGCAGCGTTTGCGGACCACTGGCCTAGATTCTCCCTTGGGAGTGTCCTCACTTCCTAGAGAGGAACTAATCAAGGAAATTCCGCTGGAGGAAATGACACTGGAGCCGCCCGCCGCCCTCCAGAAAGGCCTTTGAACTGCAGCCCAGGAGGCCTGGCTGAGGGCCTGGAGCGAGCTGCTGCCCGGGGGTGCAGGAGTGCTTGGCAGCGGGCTTCCCCAATCGGCGGCGAGGGTTTTGTGGAAGAGCCAGGCGGGCGCGCTGAGGGGGAACTGAGCCCTATTGACACGCCAGTGTCTGCAAGTTCCCCAAGAGGAGGCTCAGAATTAGCAAATTAGGGCAGGGCACTTCCTTCTTTGGGAGGGAAGTTCCTTTTTTCAAAGTTCTTCCAACGGAACTCTTAGGTTAGAAAAGGGGAAGTGAGGGGGAGCTGCAGAGGACTCCTCGCGGACCCAGCCCCGCAGGCTGTGGTCAGGCCTGGCCCGGCGGCCGCGGTGCGGGGCGCGGAGCAGGGGATCTTGCGTACATGCTCAGTCCCCAGCAAAGGAACTGGGTTCAGAAGCCCAAAGGGGGAAGTGTCTTGTGCTCAGAGGTCAAAGGGCGCGCGGGGAGAGCAGCTCACGGCGCGCTGTCTCAGCCTTTCCCTGGGGTCCGATCCGTTCCCAGGATCCGCGCTCTCAGTCGCGTCCGCGGCCGCCGAGGGTGAGTGTAGACGCACCGCCACCCGCGTGGCGTGGGGATCCTTTCCCTCCTTCCACCGCGGAACCCGCCCTCCCTCCTCTGGCGGCCGCGGCTCCAGACTTGACCTTCGGGTTCTTCCTCCGCGACCCAGGTTCCAGCCACCAGGACCCACTCGCCCCGCTCCCGACCTGCCGCCCGCGGGGACCCGCGCGGCCGGCCCAGTCCAGTGCGCAGACTCGGACCAGGCCCCGCCCCTCGCCGCCCGGCCCCGCCCCTCGCCGCCCGGCCCCGCCCCTCGCCTCCCGGCCCCGCCCCGTCCCGCCGGCCGCTCCCGCGCCCCGCCCGCGGGCCGCCGGGCGAGAAGGAGGAGGGAGGAGGTAGAGACGGCGCTCAGCTTGGCTGCCGGCCGCGAGCGGGCGGCGTGGGGTCGCTGGCCCGTGGGGACGAGGACGCCCGATCTCCGAGCTCCGCGGACCCCTCGGCCCCGACACCGCCCCTCCCTGCGCCGCCCTCCCTGCGCCGACGCCGGCGGCTGGGCGAGGCCCCGCGCGCCCTCCCGCGCCCGGCTCGCCACCCTGCGGAGCCGGCGGCCCGGCCCCAGCGCCCTCGCGCCCCGCGCCCGCGGCCATGGCCGGTAACGTGAAGAAGAACGCGGGGCCCGGGGGCGGCGGCGGCTCCGGGGGCTCGGGCGCGGGCGGCCTGATCGGGCTCATGAAGGACGCCTTCCAGCCGCACCACCACCACCACCTCGGCCCCCACCCGCCGGGCGCCGTGGACAAGAAGATGGTGGAGAAGTGCTGGAAGCTCATGGACAAGGTGCGGGCCTGCGGCCGCGGGCGGGGGGCGTGGGCGTGGGCCGCGGCGGTGCCGAGGAAACGGGAAGCGGGGGGAGGGGACGTGTCAGGCGAGGCCGGGCGGCGCAGAGCCGGGGTGCCGGGCTGGAGGCGGGGGTCGCGGGGCGGGGAGCCGGGGGCGGGGGGAAGGGCCGCGGCAGCTGCGGGTGGGGGACGTGGAGGTGGTGCGTGTGGCGAGACAAAGGGCCTGGGGTGCAGGTTGGCCGGGAGCCGCGGGGCGGAAGTGCGGTGGGGGTGCGGGCTTGGGGCGCCGCGCAGGGCGCAGGGCGCGGGGCGCAGGGCTGTGGGTCGCGGCCCGGCCGGGGCTGGGGCGGGGTGAGAAGTGCTCGGCGGCCCGGCCGGCGGCCGGTGCCGGGAACTGACTCCTGGAGCCGCTGCGCCGGAGGGGCCCGGGCGGGACCCCCCGCAGGCACGCTGCCTCGGTTGCCGTTTAGTTTTCTTTCTCCTTCAGCCGTAACACCAAGATGGAAGAATTGGGGTGCCTCACTGGCCTCCCCTGCCCGCGCTGGCGCAAGTTTTTTCCTCACATCCCGGCGCCGCCCGCGGGGCACAGATGTGCGCGGAGAGCCCGCGGGTTCCCGCGGAGCGGGTGTCGGGAAGGTGCGCGGCGGAGCTGCTGAGCCGCAGGCGCCGCTGCTCAACTTCCTCTCTCACCCGCCGGCTGGGCTCTGCTTTGTGTAACGGACTTGTCTCCTGACTGCAGCACCTGGCTACCCTGCGCCGTGGGCTGCTTTGATTACCTGCTGAAACTTTTTTAAAATATATTTTTACTGATTTCAGAGAGGAAGGGGGAGAGAGAGAGAGAGAAACCCCTGTGATGAGAGAGAATCATGGATCGGCTGCCTCCTGCACTCCCCCGACTGGGATGGAACCCATAACCTGGACATGTATGTACCCTTGGCCGGAATCGAACCCGAGCCTTCAGTCCGCAGGCCCACGCTCTATCCACTGAGCCACACCAGCTAGGGCTAAAAAATTTTTTTTTAGCAAGTTTGAAAAATAACACCATTATATTAGCCACTTTAAGTTTGGCCTTTGGGAGAACTATACTTCCTGGAAGTCATGTCTATATAACGAAATATAGTAGTTAGTCCCAAGTACTGAAGAGTGTTTTGAAGCAGTCTAACAATTTGTTCCAGAGAATTCAATACAATAGTTCCTTGATCTCTTTCACATTATTAATAACTTGTTTCTGTGAAATTTATACTGTGAGAAGTGATTAGGAGGATCTGGCACATTGTAAGAGAATGGTGTTATTTCTGTAGTAAAATTGGTTATTCTCTGGTCCAAGATTTCTCTTTTTTTTAAAAAATATATTTTATTGATTTTTTACAGAGAGGAAGGGAGAGAGAGAGAGCTAGAAACATCGATGAGAGAGAAACATTGATCAGCTGCCTCCTGCACATCTCCCACTGGGGATGTGCCCGCAACCCAGGTACATGCCCTTGACTGGAATCGAACCTGGGACCGCAGGCCGACGCTCTATCCACTGAGCCAAACCGGTTTCGGCAGATTTCTCTTCTGAAAAGTATTTGCTGTATTGTTTTGGATTAGAAACCACTAATAACAATGATTATGAGCCCTAGCTGGTTTGGCTCAGTGGATAGAGCCTCGGTCTGTGGACTGAAGGGTCCCAGGTTCGATTCCAGTCAAGGGCACATGCCTGGGTTGTGGGCTTGATCCGCAGTAGGGGTGTGTAGGAGGCAACTGATCAATGATTCTCTCTCATCATAGATGTTTTTATCTCTCTATACCTCTCTCTTCCTCTCTGAAGTCAATAATCCTATATAATAAAAGCCTAATATGCTAAATGTCTGGTTGGCTGGTCAGCTGTTCAACCAATCAAAGTGTAATATGCTAATGATATGCTAAGGCCACTCAACCGCTTGCTATGATGTGCACTGACCACCAGGGGCAGACAGTCGACTGAACGACCAGTCGCTATGATGTGCACTGACCACCAGGGGCAGACAGTCGACTGATCGACCAGTCGCTATGATGTTCACTGACCACCAGGAGGCAGACACTCCAACTGGTAGGTTAGCTTACTGCTGGGGTCCAGCAGATTGGGATTGAGCTAGATGGGCCGGACATGCCCTGGAGCCCTCCTGTGGTCCCTCACTGGCTGACCAATCTCCCGCATCCCTCCCCAGCCCCGACTGTGCGTTGGTGGGGACCTCCTAAGGGGATGTTGGAGAGCCAGTTTTGGCCTGACGGCAGAACGACCGGTTGCTATGACGCACACTGACCACCAGGGGGTAGACGCTCAATGCAAGAGCTGCTCCCTGGTAGTCAGTACGCTCCCACAGAGGGAGTGCCGCTCAGCCAGAAGCCGGGCTGATGGCTGGCGAGTGCAGTAGCGGGAGCCTCTCTTGCCTCTGTGGCAACGCTAAGGATGTCCGACTGCTGGCTTAGTCGGACATCCCCTGAGGGCTCCAGGACTGTGAGAGGGTGCAGGTTGGGCTGAGGAACACTCCCCCCCCCCCCAGTGCATGAATTTTGTGCACCAGGCCTCTAGTAATAATAATAAAAATACATATATATGTAAAAACATGAATGTACTCAAAATCTGAAGTTTGTAGGTTTGCATTTTAGGAATTTGCAGTTAAGACTAAAATGGTTCTTCTGGTATACAAAAATGTTTACATTTCTAATTAGTCTCTCATATAAGATGTGTACGCAATGTATCAAAATTGTATTGATTAGAGACCTCTTCCAAAAAACAAACTTCAATCAAACTTTTGAGTCTCTGTAAGGTAGTCCAAATAAGATCCCTCCTTAAGTCTTCCCGCTTCATCTATTTAAAGCATGTGTGTTGAATTTTTATTTCTTCTGCAGAATGTTTAATTATTTGGGAAGAATAAGGAGGACCCAGAGTTTTGAGTGAAGGTGATTTTTAGGTGTTGACAGTTTCAAGGAGAGGAGGCCTCTAGCTTTTCCCCTTTAGTGTAGGGAGAGGCATTTTACTCTTGTGCTGCTTGTCTCGGAAGGTGTTTTGTAGTCCTCTTTGAACTCTATATCACATATTACTGGTTGTGCTGAAATGAAAACTTTGTTCTTTCTGATGTAGGAAAGGTTCATACTATTTCCAGAATTTCTGAATGTTTCTGCAGTGTTGTTAGGTCACATAGTCTCTTTGACTTCTGACATTTTGAGCATAGATATTCTCTTTTTTCACTATATTTATTGTTGGAAGTCTTAAATGTGACTTCAGGTGGTCTAAGTGGTGAACTTCAAATCCATAGGTTTCACACATTTATTGAATTTAGTTCTGTCACCATCTCATACATGTTTTTTGTCATTGAAGTGAGATGAATATTATTCCAGCCTATTGTTAATTAGTTTATTGATTTAGCACTGAAAATCTTTAGTCTCCTGCCCTCTTGCAATATTGGATATATGCAGATGGAGACGTTGGCATAAGTCATATGTTCTGGGCAACATAGGCCGAATTCACTAATTCATTCATAGGCTCAGTTTATTAAACCATTGTGGGACTTAAACTGGTTGGAAAAATACTTGTGCTGCAATGCTTGTTATTAAACAAAAGACATGCTCAGCCCCTAGTATGTGTGTGTGTGTGTTTTAACCAACCCAGAATATTGTGTAATGCTTGTGTAAACACTTGTATGTGAAGAGAGTGGCTAGTAAAGAAACTACTGGACAGGGGAATGGAGAGAGAAATCATATAACTTTCCTTAAGTGTAGATTTAGAAGTGTGAAGGTATTGGTTTAGTGAGACACTCAAAATTCCATTATGAAGTAGAGCAGGAGGTGGCAAACCTTTCTGTCAGGGGATAAATAGTAAATATTTTAGGCATTGCTGTCCACATACTCAGTCCCATATTCTTGGTTGGTGTTTTTACAACACTTTTAAATGTAAAAGCCACCCTAGCCGGTTTGGCTTAGTGGATAGAGTGTTGGCTTGTGGACTGAAGGTCCCGGGTTTGATTTCGATCAAGGGCATGTGCCTGGGTTGCAGGCTTGATCCCCAGTAGGGAGCGTGCAGGGGCAGCTGATCAGTGATTCTCTCTCATCATTGATGTCTCTCTCTCTCTCCCTTTCTGAAATCAATAAAAATATATTTTTTAAAAATGTAAAAGCCATTCTTAGCTTGCAGGTGTACAAAAGCTGTAGGCTGTAGTTTACCCACTTCTGAGGTGGAGCATTATGCTGGCAGGATTTTAGGTGTATACTATGTTTTTATTTTAAATAAGTTTACATCATTAAAACATTAAGGTGTTGATTTTTAAAAAAAAATGGGATGTAATTTATTGGAAAATGCTTCCCCTTAAAGCATGAGTTCAAAAAAAGTTTCCAGCTCCAGATTTCGAAAACTCCCAAGCCTGCGTCTCCTGGGTGAGTGATGGGAAGACATCTCTAAAATGTTTTAATTGATTTCAGAGAGAGAGAGAGAGAGATGGAAACATCAATGGTGAGAGGGAATATCATGGGTTGGTTACTTCCTGCACGCCCCCTATTGGGGATAGAGCCCGCAACCCGGGCATGTACCCTGGCTGGGAATCGAACCTGTGACCTCCTGGTTCATAGGTTGATGCTCAACCACTGAGCCACGCCAGCTGGGCTTCTAAAATGTTTTAATTATCATCATGTGCATCATTTAATTAATTGAATAGGTAAAACAATCAAACCAAATAACATTGGGTGAAACTTAAGTGAAAAAAAACCGTACAGGGAGGCGGGTAGCTCCACAGGCCACACCCACAGGGAGGTTTTGACAGGCCCAGATCCTACGGGGTGGATTTTGCTTTGTGTGGTTAGCTCTTGCACAGCAACTCATACACTGTGGTCGGGGCCAAGCCTCATAGTCAGCCAGGCTGAAGGCCAGCCCCATCCACGGGAGGTCAGACAGCAATCAAGACAACTACAATCGGAGGGCTCACATAACCCACGCAGAAACTCTTCTGGAGCACCCAGCCTAAGTGGTCAGGGAGACTGTAC